ATACCTATGCTAGCGAACTACACCTGGCTAACTACAACTTAGTGAACTTAGCTAACATTAACTAAACTAGAAAGACAAACTAACAATCAGACACAGAGAGACATACCTACTGTAAGTTCTAAGTAAATTACATGATAAATTGGTTAGCTAGCTCACAACGATGTTTATCGCTTTAATGCTCTGATTTAACAAGGTGTGACGGCGTGACAGTTTTTTAACGATGCATGACAGTGCGCCTGCGCAAGCTTGGAGAATATAAAATAAAAAAATATAAGGAAATGACTTTGAAAACAATATATAAGATGGGTTAATGCAAAAAAAAGTGGAATGATAATGTGCCAGTGTGAATATCAGTATCCCTTTCATTCTAAACACTTTGCCCCAACAGTATATAGTGCACTTTCAAATATTAATGTGGGTCTTTACTGATGCCCTGCTCTCACCTTTGTAGAGAAAGGTAGAGTTTTGGCACTTTGCCTTTGAGGACAACTTTACCCTGGCTAACTAACTGTGGGAATTATCTATCATGTATCCCAGCTCTGTCAGTTTAAAACTTCACCTTTTGTTGTGATATGCTCGACTGTGTATGATACTTTCTGAGGTCAAAGAAACGCTTTGAAAATACAGAGTATACTAGGATTGCATAATTTCAGTGGTACTTGTAGTAAGTTAATTTGAAGTTCATGTTGATGAATGGAGATTGAATTGTTTTACTGAATGACTCGTGAATGAGCATTCAGTCGTACTTTCTTTTTTTTTTTTTTTTTTAATGACTGCTGTCACGGATCGGGGCACTGAGTGCAGACTGGTGAGGACCCAAATGCAGACAATGGCAAGGCGAGGAGGTTGCAGTTCAAAATGTTTATTAATCCAAAAAACTAACTTAAACAGGCTTACAAGGAGCTCGAGGCAAAGTCCAACAAAGGTAGTCCAGAACACAAGGCGATCCAAAACACAGGGAATAATCCAGAACAGGGAAAACGAAGGAACAGGCAGGAACACATTAGACGCGCACACACAAGGACGTGACAAAGACTGGAGAGACAAGCAGGCATACATATACACAGGGACTAACGAGCGGGGCGGGAGCAACACAGGTGAGCGGGATCAGGGCTAACGAGGCAGAGACAGACAGACAAGCAGGCAGGCAGAGAGACAGCAGGGGGAAACACTAGACAAGCAGACATGGGGCAGAGTGAATAACCAAGAAGACAGAAACACACACAAGTTACAAAGAACCAGAACCTAAATGAGAACACAGAAGAGTACAGAGTACAGAGGAGACCAAATCACAATAATACAAACAAGGACCAGGAATGATTACCAAAACATGAACTAAGGACATGGAACTAAACTCAAACTCCCAAACAAGACACACAGACAGGATCATGACAGTAAGCCCCTCTCAAAGAACGTCCCCTGACGTTCTTAACACAAAAAAAAACGAGCCAGGTGGGTGGAGGGAGGACAGGAGGAGGGCCAGAAAAACAAAACAAGAGCCTCAGGGGCCCAAATTCAGGTGAGGCAAGGCAGTTCAGGAGGCCGACCGAGGTGGCCAGGGTTAGGGGACAGTTCGGAGGGCCGTCCCGGAGGGCAACAGAGTTCAGGTGGTTGCCCGGGAGGCCGGGTAGATCAAGGGGGCAAAGTTCAGGACGCCGTCCCGGAGGGCGGCCCAACAGGCCAGGCAGAACAGGGAGACCAGACGGGGGAACCTCAGGCGGGCGGCCTGAGAACTGGGCCAGGGGGCCAGACAGTTCAGGGGGACGGCCAAGCAGGCAGGGTTCAGCGGGTTGGCAGGACAGCCAACAGTGAGGTAGGAAACCCACTGGGGGCTGAGCAGGAGGCTGACGGCGAGAGCTCTCCGGAGGTCGGCGCCCAAAGCTTGGGTGCTCGGGAGGAGCAGCTGGGCTGAGGTCTCTTCTGGCGAGACGCAAGACAGCGTGCTGACATCACACGTTGCCGTAAGTGCTGCCCTAGAAGGCTGTTCGAAACTAATGTAAACAGAGATGCCTTCTGAGGCAGCTGTCTACTACGGTAACGAGGCAGCGAGGCAACTCCCTTCGGTTTCGAACACTGCCTTTGTGTACATCAATAATGCTTGGTGCTCAAAAGAGGCCAAAGGGGATAGACAGTGTGTACCAGATGTGGAATTTTTAATGTTGAGATGTCGGCCATATTATCTGCCCAGAGAAAGTGTTTTTGTCCTTGCTGTTCACATTCCTCAAGAATTGTATGATGTCATCAGCAGTCAAATGACAAAACAAACTGATGGTCTTTTTATTGTTGTAGAACAGTTTCACCTCAGTTCCACCAGCATGTCCACATCCCCACCAGAAGAACAAATACACTGGACAATGTCTACACAAATATTCCTGGCAGCTACAAAGCCCTCCCCCACTATATCTCCGTGCTTCTCCTGCCCACTCACACCAAGCTGATTAAAAGGGTCAAACCAACAGTAAAACAGTCAAAGTGTGGACAGATGAAGCTACGGCAGCTCTGCAGGACTGTTTTGAGTGCACAGACTGGCACATGTTCAGAGAGGCTATCATCCCGGAGAACCACATCAACCTGAGGAATATACATCATCAGTGACATCATGGCCAGCAGCCATACCAACGTGCAACCTGCTTCTGCTGAATGAATGAAGCTAAGGTTTGGTTTGGGCTTTGCTAGTGCCTGGACAGGAGCCCTCCTGGGAAAACTACGTTGCTGCTGGAAGAGGTGTTGGTGAGCCAGTAGATGGGGCAGTCTTCCCTCTGGTCCTAACAATAGGTCGTTTGACTTCATATCTGAAGTTTTAAGCTGTCAGTTCTTCACCTGTTTTGATTTACTGTTGGTTGTCTTTTATGGCACACACATTAACAGACCGTCCTCCACACACCATCCTCCCCCCCTTGAATGCTGCTGCTGATAATAGTTAAGTGTTGTGCCGTCCCTTAGTTGATTGGCGGCATGACAGCGGTACAAAACACCAAACAGAACCCCATATTTTTCTTTTCTTTGGATGGGGGCCATAATTATATTTTTAAAAATCATATCTGGATTTTTTTGCTTGCCATAGCAAAGCCCCTACCCACATGGTGGTGTCAAAGGTGACTGTCTGTATGGCTTATATTTAGGGTGGGCCCCGCTCTTTCGAGTATAACCCACGATTCATCACGGTACTACATTTATCAAAGAAATTATAAATAAAACTATTAAAATTATAAAATAAAACAAGTGAAACTGTTAAAGCTGATCTTAAGAAAGTGTCTTGTATATGTTGGTTAGACTTACACTTGGTTTATTTCTAAAACAAACAAAAATGTGCCTCTTTTTAATTGCACTTAAATTAACTATTTTTCTTATTAAATTCTGGTGACATAGTAAACAAGGTAAGCCTGTGGCTTCTAGCCTGTATAGCCAAGTCAGTTTTAATGGTCTAGATATGGTTGGGGTGCCCTTGTAATTGAATATTTAGTGGCTACAAATAATTTTACACAGTCACAAATGAACTTGACATACAGCAACAATATTGTATATGTAAATAACATAATACTGGTGTTAGAACCATAGGGTAGATTTACAGGATATGTATGTGTGTATGTGTAAGGATATTGCACAGTATGGCAAGAACAGGTGAGCTGAGTTCACAGAGGGCTGGAAGTATCTACTTGTCAACAACATATTGTGACTGTCCTGTGTTGTGTTGCACAGGTTTTACCAGACACCGACGGATCGCTGTAGAAGACGACAACCACACGGTGGAGCTCCAGACCAGAGAGCTGACCAAGCGACATGCTGCGTTTAAAGACGGTCTACTCGTCTACTTTTTTTGGGATGTTTTCTGTCTACATAAGATTAGATATATAGAATGTGGATAACAGGATTGTTTTTGTTGTAATTTACAACAAGAAATGTTACATATATAAGAAAAAAGGATACTACATTATTTTCAATATATTTCATCTTTACACATTCACAACACATTTCTTAGTTGTTTTGCATTTTGTTTTTTTTCACACATCTGGGCTTTATTTTAATTTCTGCTGTCCAGTTTAGCTTTCAGGACACTACTATTTGGTAAAGCAGTGGTCAACCAAATACAATTATGGTGTCAATATGATTATTAAGGTAAAATGAGTAATTCATAATAGTATAATAATAGTTTTAAATTAAATATGTTACTTATAGTAGTTAGTATAGTAATCTATTATTATTATTGTTGTATTTGTGTTGTTGTTATTATAAAATCTTTATTGTCTCAGAGAGCAAACCCAAAAGATAGATAGATAGATCGATAGATAGTTTTATTAGCCACATGACAAATGCCAGTGGAATTTGTTTTTGGTACAGTATGTTTGTTTAAGCTCTGCACCACGTACATACACTTCACAACGTGTACGACAGACAACTAGCTTCATGTTGCAGGTGGGTGCAGTGGTTCTTCTTTCAACAGTCTATGGTGGTCCAGTGTAAAATGGGGTTTTACTATTTCACTTGAACGCCGCATTGTCAGGTCGGGCGCTCCTGGTTCCGGAAGTAAAAGTTCATAGTTACGTGAGTCGTTTGAGCTTTTGCATGGCTTGGCATGGAACCACAGTATATGCATACAACTCTAACGTTACTGGTTATATCATCAATCCAAAATATTCACAGTCTAAGAACACATTTGGTTCTTTATTAAAGAAGGCACACGCTTGTGGGTGACTTTAACTACGACTCCCAAGGGGCAGTTCAGGAAAAAAAAAAACACCCAATCGCCGATCTTAAAATTGTGTCAGATGCGCCGCTACCGGCCAATGGAAGCTAAAGAATAAAGCTTAAGCCGTTGTAAGAACTGATTTTATAATCAGTTTAAATAAATTCACTTTTATTTTGGGGGACAGCGACTATGGCGCCGCGTTCTCTTAACCACTGCAACGACGACGCGTTTTGAATTTGCTACCGCTCTGCTTCATGCCTCTGACTGGATTCTTCTCCATGGCAACGGCGGGTGAGGCTCATGGGTATTGTAGTATTTCGAGACGTTCGCCATGCAGAAAGAAAGGATCAACTTGATTTCTCAGACGCAAAGATGAAAGAGATGGTCCTAACGTAAACCTACCGTAGACTCTCAAACCTATGTGATCGTTACAGTCTGTGGGAGAGCCTGTCTGCCTGTATGAAGCAAAACTGAGGACAATGGTTAAAGACTCAACCCCCCTTCGCAAGCTAAAGCCTTGAAGCCAGCCAGCCAGTCAGGAGGCTTCTACGGAAATTCGGTTGGCTCAAACCACTGTTAAACCCTTCGCGATCAGCAATCTCGACAGTCCTACATTTTTCCGATGGCGAGATAATGACGAAAATTGGGCAATTCAAGGCAAAAGTAGAAACTGCTGATCGTGTCGGTCGTCGTTGAAGGGTGTCGAGGGTCGATAGCGACGGACAGCTTGATGGTCAGCGGGAGCAGCGGCAGAGAACGGTCCAGGTGGCGGCTTCAAGGAGACTTCTGTGATGCTACGTAGGCAACTGGAAGAAAAGGACTTTTCTGCCACGAGAGAGTGTGTGTGAGCCCGGTTTGCTAGAGACGATCCGCTTTTTGTTGTGTTTTAAAAAAAAACTTTTATATGTGTGTATTAGTTATTTTTGTCATAGTTTTACCGACACGCGGCTTTAGGATACAGTGAGGATACACAGCGAGCTGGTGAACTTTTGGGGAATGGCAGGTCGAAGCCGAAGAGCATGGTTTAGTGTTCTGTTGGGACTGGTTGTCGGGTTCACGCTGGCTTCCAGACTCATTTTACCGAGGGCGACCGAGTTGAAGAAAGCTGGGCAGAAGCGTAAAGCTAACCCTGCCGGCTGCGGGTTGAACAGGGGACTCAGAACGGAATACGGCGGAGTACTGTGGCCACCGCAAGATAACGGTTCACCGTCGACCGAGAAGCCTGGCTCCAGGTCCAGTAATTTCCTGTTCGTTGGTGTCATGACTGCCCAGAAGTACCTGAACAGCCGAGCCGTGGCGGCACACAGGTATGTGATGTGTCAGGGAAGAGTGCCACCTTTCCTATCTCCCATCCATCTTTCTCGCTTATGGAAGGCAACTAACGGTTCACCAGTCTAATTTTAAACGTTATGTTCGCATTTTAATGTAGCTTCTTTATAAGGTTATCTGCAAGTACGTAAACCCATAAAACACTTTCCAATTGGGCGTAAGTTACAGGCCTTTTATACAGTGGTAGCTAGCTAGTAGCAGTCATTTCTACCACTGTTAAGGTTTTGTCATTGATACACTGACTGATGGATAACATTACCGTTTAAAAAAGAATTCAGAAGAAATGGTACCAAATGAGGTAACGTTACTGCGAGTTATGTCTTAGGGTATGTAACGTTAAGTTACTGTAATGCTAAATTAGAACAGCTCGGCGATACATTCAAGTCTGCCTAGGTTTAACTGTTAGCTAACGTGTTAAATTACCATCATATCAGCTTAACATCCTGTTTGCTCTTTTATGTCAACTTAAGTAGCATTAATGTGGGTAAAATAAGTTTATCACACTCTTCATTGAAGCCATGTGAACACTGAATGAAATGCATGGAACCCAGTACTTTTTTTTATATCTGCACATATGGCATCAAATGCACATTTTCTACCTGCCTGCTGCATCCTTTCAGACACACTTCTGCAAACTTGAGCTCCACACATTTGGTATCTTCAGAAACTTTAGGATAGCACTAATGTTACCACAATTACCACAGAATTGTCTATCGGTCTGCTTATTTCTCCAGGGAATCGTTTAACTGAAAAAAAAAAAATGTCAGAAAAATAGACAAATGCCTCAATCACAGTCTCCCAGAATCCTATATGACATTTTCAAATGTCTGGTTGAAAAGGCATTTAACTGAACAACAGCCTGGTTTGGTCTGTTTTACTGAGTTGTTTTCAGAAGTTTGGATAATTGTGTTAAAATCTCAAAATAAAATTGTAAAAGAACTGAAATTTTATTAGGCAGAAAACACTGTGTAGAAAGTAGTATTACTGTTTACACCAGAGGAATCCCTTTAACGGCTCTACAGAATTGTATTTAGGCCTAAACCGTTTTCCAAGACTCTGGAGTTTAATTGATTTTGGTGCAGAAGACATTTGTCTAGATCAGGGGTTTTGAAGTTGTCCAATCTAATGAATGGAGAGACGGACCCTCAGTTGTGCTCACGGAAGTTTACAGTTGTTTGGATTATCCGAAGACTGCAACAATCTGTCCCCAACTCATCCTAAAATAAGCCTTAAACCAACCCATCACTAAGACAACACAAGATTAAGTCCCTGGACCAACTGGTGGGCTACTACCAGCGGAGTCTCCTCTTTCTGAGGGTCTCATGTGCCCACACAGATCTCGCTTTCCCTGTCTCCTGAGTGTTTGTACACCTCACACACTCAAAACAGTGCCAGAGCAGGCGCCACAGACCTGTGAGTTGTGATCAAGTTTCTACTAATATGACAGTTATTAATGAGCAGCAAACCAAAAATTACAGATCACTGGCGCTATAATCTTTGATTAGACTGAAAGGACAGCTGATTCGGTGGTTGCCTAGCGACATAAAAAAAACGCAGCACTTTGCTCTTTTCCAAATTCAACCAAGAAAAGGCATTGCGTTTTCAAACCTGCAAAGCGCTTTCTGTCTGATGGGGGCCTGATTCTTCTTTGTCGTTTTATAGTGGTTGGCATCACTGCCACCTACTGGATTAAACAGTGCAAAATATTTACAGTGTCCGCCCAAAGTGATTCCATTCACAACTGTAGTCTGTCTAGACTGTACTCCTTTTTAATATATTTACAGCAGTGGTTCTCAAACTTTTTCACACCATAGCTGACACAAATTAGATCAGTCTTCTATTTCACATAGGCATGCACCGAATGTTCGGCCACCGAAATTAATCGGCTGGGCAATTCGGGGTTCAGTATCTTGCCCAAGGACACTTCGACACGCAACCAGGGGGAGCCAGGGATTGAACCGCCGACTTTCCGATTAACGGCCAACCTGCTCTACCTCCTGAGCCACAGCCGCCCCAATATGCCCAATATGCCGTTTTCAGACACTGTTGTGCTGAATTGTCTCCTAGCACAGCCACACCATCTGTGGCTGACTTCTTAGAAAAGGCAACAAATGATCTGACCCGCTTTGAGTGTTTCTGTCACTCGTTTCTGAGAAGATGATAAAGCTAGCCGCACCTACATTTGGAGTGCCCACGTATTTAAACCTTTATGGTAACTGAAACGGACCAGAGCAAGCTGACAGGCAGGTTAGCAACTTTATCCTGTAATTTTCTCTCTTTACAACAACAAGTGATGCAGTATGAGAGTCCTACCTGAAGAGAAGCTATGCAGTCTTCATGTTACGCGATACAAGAACCACATGAAATAGTGTTTCTCAACGGGGGCAGTACCGCGCTAGAAGCAGTATTTTGGAAAGGGGGGTGCTGATCTGCTTTTGAGGGGCGAAATTCTAAGGCGAGTTTACACTATTCACAACAATACGAGTTTAAACTCTAAACTACTTGCAAAAAAACTGTGGCCTGCCACATTAAAACCTGCCAGTTTAGTCCACTGCGACTGAACTAGACGGTGTATTTTTTCTCCGTCAGCTACTTGTGGTGCAGCTCCGTGCTGCCTTCACGGGAACGGGAAGTCAGAGTATCATCTGTAAAATTTTACCCACATGGCGTTTACTGTGTAAACTTTGGAATATTGACGCTCTCTTTCTTGATATTACAGTGGAAAAGTGTTTGTCTCTGAGGAATACACTGTGAATGTCTTGTTATCGCAGTGGTTACACATTTACAAGAGGAAAGCAACTTCGCTCCGACACCAGCGAGTGACGTGGACCCACCAGACAGTTTGTGCCAAAGCGGGCATATACAGGAGTTTCAGTAGGCTATAAAAATGTAACGAAGCCCTGACTTGCTCTGTTGGGGATTGTAAGCGGCACTTTATCAGAGGTACTGAAGTTAACGTGTGTGGATTTGTGGTGAGCTTTCTGTCTGATCACAGATGTTGTCGGTTAGTTTCATTTCCCCCCGGCATGAGCAGCTCCTCGTGTCATCCAGTTCTGTGTCTGTCAGACGGTTGAGGGGAAACTTCCAGTGAATCAGTAACCTAATGCAGTATAAAGCATGTAGTAAAATATTATGAATTCTCTTTAAATAGGCTAATGACGTTGGTCTCCCATTACGACTTTTTTTCTTTACATGTCAGAGAACACAGTGCATCCCTAATTTCACGTAAGATTTTGTCCCAAAATTGCCCATCTGATAAGAGTTTGGCTGTTAGATGTCTGATTACAGAAAGCGTGACGTAAATAGTCATACGTTCTGTCACTGTGTTTATGGATGGAATTATAGGGAAAATAAAATTTTCCCCTGTTTGCTGTGGACCCCCTGGTAACCCCCACAAGGATCCCTAGGGATCCCTGGACCCTGGTACCTGGTAACAGCAGTAAGACCCCAACCACAGATTAAACCCACAGGTCTGGAGCCAGAAACACCTGCAGAAAGCGATAGAAGGAGAGAGGAGAGGGATGAGAAAGCACTAAACTACGGGAAAGGGAAGAAGTCAGTACCAGTTATACAGCATGGTAACTTTGACAGCTGTTTTCCAAAGTTGACATGGGTCTCCGACATTGACAGCGATGTGTTGGACAGATTTGTGCAGTGGTGTTTATGATACCAACCAGTTAAATTCACCGACGGGTCTGTTGTGCGTGTTTGCGAGAGAAAGAGAGAGAGAGCGACTGAGTCAGAGGATGTGTGGAGCAAATATGCGCTGCGCAGCGCTGCAATCAAGAACGATTTAAAAAAAACACTTTCCAGTAATGCACTTGAGTTTAATGTTATCTGTCCTGATGTATCAGATCAGTCCAATCAGCTGCAGCGTCCAATCAATATAACGGCTACCCAATAAGGGGGCGTGTCGGTCAGTGAAAGACTTCTGCGAAGGATGTACTGGTGTATCCTCGCTCATAGCTCCTCAGAGCGCAAATAAGAGCTTTGGGACGGTCTGCAAGAGGGCGGAGCGGAACAACTTCCGGTTCAAGCGAGGAGCGAGGAAACGACAAATAAGAGACTTGAGAAGCACCCAAGGTAGTGTTGTCTCAAATCAAACACTGCTGTTGTGCACTAAGGGGAAATGACGCAAGATTGCACAATGCCCCCAGCACAGAGGCCGACTGCAGAGCTCCAAAATAACAGCCAGGCTTTATCACACAGAAATGCTCAGAATCGGGTTTATTGCCAAGTTCAAACTTATAAGTAATTTGCTTTGGTTTATTAGTGTTTATTTATTCATAAGTTTCACAAGCCAAGAATTTTCTGTACAAGATGTCTCTTCATTTAATTTAAATTACTCAAATGTAATGACAGAATAACAGCGGTACAAACATTAACACTATCTTACGGCTGTGTTTTCCTGCTGTTGCTGGAGTCTCTGATGCGTTTGCTGCAGCGGTCTGCATGACAGCGGGAGCAGAGGGCTCTGTGAGCGGACAGCTGACTAGCCTCACTAGCTCCTCCCGCGGTTTGGCGCGAGCTTCCCCCGCTGTCACTTACGGAGCTCCTCAACTCCAAAAACGTTCAAGCACATTTTTGTTCTGCCATCACTTCTCGTAAAACTATCAATATTCGACACCTACACAGTTCTGTTGTGGGCCTCTCTCTCTGCTGCTTTCCGTGTTGTTGGCCTCGCCCACTTCTGCTATGTAGCTAGAATGGCGGTTGTTGAGGGTGAGAATTGTCCACCGTTCCACACTCAACTTTTTGGCCGTTATGAGTGCACCATCCGGGTACTTACAGTGCACAGCATTTTGCCATACTTCATAGTGTGAACACACTTATACACTCAAAATAGTAAGTATAAGTATGAAAGTATGCGAATTGAGACACAGCAATGGTTCCACAAGAGAGGAGCTTTATAGCTGACGGCTCTGGCTTCCATTCTATTTTCTCTAGAGTAGAACCTTCTGGGAGTGCTGTCTTGTAGTAACATAATAAAGTATTAGCTATATTACAGAAAGTCCACCAGCAGGAGAAGCTGAGAAGTTATTTATTCTTTTGAAACAAGATGGTGTTAAACCGAGTAAATTCACCAGATTAAAATGCTTAACATCTGGAACGAATGCTTATTTTAGGTTTTAATGGAATTATAATGTTGGCTAAGAGGAAACTTCAAAGACACTGACATGCATTGAATTAGAGCAGTTCTCTGTAATGTTAAGGCAAGGATTATACTTTATGTGAGGGTCCGCTAGGGTGCATGTGATGAAAAAATCGTCATCAGAGGGGGTACGCCTCCTGTTTTTTGTGGCCTCGCGGACTTGTCCGCACCAGGTCTGCATGGCGCCTAGCACTACCAGGGCAAGAACCGATCTACTGCGCATGTGTCGAACGTGTCCGCCAAGCTGACTGCAGAAGGTAGTATTTGAAGTAGTCCGAGTCCGCGGGTTATGCAGCTGTCCTTATCCGCGTCCGCTCCCGAGCATATTTGAGGCTTAACTCTCCACTGCATTCAAGAAATTACAGTGATGGAACAGTGTTGGGCAAGGTACTTCCAAAATGTAATATGTTGTAGATTACTAGTTACTGCCATTTTTGAGAGTACTTGGAAACGGACTGACCCGATACAGGGGGCGTAATCGATTTTCACTGTTCTAGCTGTTTTCCCTGCAAAAACATTGGCCCTTTGTATCAACAGAGACAGTCTGGCAGGCCGCCATCTTGGTGAGGTCAGCTTCCTCTGTAAGTTTCGTTTCTGTCTCAGATTGAAGTAGTAATAATAATAATAATAATAATAATCCTTATTTGTAGAGCACTTTTCAAAAACAAGTTACAAAGTGCTTTAACAAGTGTGAAGAATAATACAAAAAAAAAGATAAGAGCATGAAAATTTAATATAAAATTAGTAAAATACAATAAAATAAAAGGGATAAAATAAAGTCAAATAAGATCGGGAAAAGCTCTCCTATAAAAGTATGTTTTAAGAAGGGACTTAAAAGAGTTCACTGACTCAGCCGACCTGATTTCCTCGGGCAGGCTGTTCCAGAGCCTCGGGGCCCTGACAGCAAACGCTCTGTCCCCTTTAGTTTTCAGTCGAGACTCTGGAACAGACAACAGACCTCTGCCCGAGGATCTCAAGGTACGTGCTGGTACGTATGGGACTAAAAGGTCAGAAATATAACAAGGCGAGAGGCCATGAAGAGCTTTAAAAGTGATCAATAGAATTTTAAAGTCAATTCTAAAACATACTGGGAGCCAGTGTAATGAAGCTAAAATAGGAGTAATGTGGTCATATTTCTTTGTTCTGGTTAAAAGCCTGGCAGCTGAGTTCTGGACAGTCTGGAGTCGATCAATAGATTTTTGGGTTAAACAGGTGAAAAGGCTGTTGCAATAATCCAGGCGTGATGAGATGAAGGCGTGTAAAATGGTCTCGGTGTCCTTAAAAGTTAACATAGATCGAATTTTAGCTATATTTCTAAGTTGATAAAAACATGATTGAACAAGCTTTGTGGTGTGCTGCTCGAAATTTAAATTACTATCAAACCAAACACCAAGGTTCTTTGCCACAGGCTTAATGTGATTTACTAGGGAACCAGCAGATGGCATCTGCTGAGACCCGATGACCAGGATTTCTGTTTTGTCTGAGTTCAGCTGGAGGAAATTATTTGACATCCATTTTTTAACTTCACAAAGGCAGTTGTTAAGTGAACTCAGCATTCCAGGGTCTGTGGATCTGACGGGCAAGTATATTTGTGTGTCATCAGCATAAATATGAAAAGAAATGCCATGTTTATGGATAATATGTCCAAGGGGAAGCAGATACAAGGAAAACAAAATGGGTCCTAAGACGGACCCCTGAGGCACACCATATTTAACTGGACAGAATGAAGAGACATAGTTGTTTACAGACACGCAAAACTTCCTATTTGACAGGTAGGATGAAAACCATTCTAGAGCAGTACCAGAGATCCCCACCCAGTGCCTCAGTCTGTCTAACATGATGTTAGACAGACTGATGAAGTAGAGAAGAAGAGTTTGCTTTGGTTGGAGGCGGCCTTTATCGGCCTCTGCTGGCGATCCGTAGGAGCTACACAGACATCACTTCGTCCATTCAATACGAACAGAAAGTGTTGTTCTATTCACAAGCTGTGGCCTGTAAAGCATGAGAGTGTTTTTGGTCATATATATTGATGCCAGCCAGACATCTAGCATGCCAAAGATCTGGAGGAGTCGGCCGACTCGACATCCATAAACAGCTAATGACAACAGGCAGCTACTTTTTCACTGCAAAACACTTTTTACTCCCCTCCAGCTCTCTCTGTAGCTCAGACAATCCCTGCTACCTGCACATGTTTGTGTTTTGCATATTTTTCATTAGCCTGCATTAAAATACCACAGGTAGCCCACATTTTGGCAATATGGTAACACACAGTTAATAGGTTTTATAATTGGAGAAGAAGACGCATGCACCATACTTTACAAACAGTGAGCAACAGCGAGTAGGTTTACGTGGAATAAAAGCACATAACATGTTAAAAATAAATAAAATAAAAAGTAACATGGGCACAGTAATAAAACAGCGGAAAAAAAGTGTGAAAGACAAAAGTGGACCGACCGAATGTGTGAGTTGCTAAAAATATCACTGCTCTTAAAATTCATAGTGTGTCATACAGCAAACATCAGACCAACAACCAGACAGCTGCTTTACAAACACAAACCTCACCTGAGTGCTATACAAGTTATACGAAGGTGCAGCTCCCTGACACCCAGTTAACTCATGACTATGACGTTACGACCCAACCAGGAGAACAACAAACGCACGTGTGCACATTTTCAGCTGAGGATTGCGGTTTATTTTGGCTAGCCTTCAACTCAACAATCAATCATGATTTCAGTGAAATGCTAAAGTCGCTATAACTGTTACCTCGTCTGTGGTCTGCTGGCAGAACACCAGGTGCTTTCTGATCAGGTGCCGTCATGCTGTTGGTAGGCGACATAAGTTTCGTTTTTAGGTGGACGGACGGTAACATTACAGAGTTGTTGTTTTCTTTTAGCTTGAAATAACCCCATACTTTGGACACTTTCTTCTTCGGCGCTCGCTATTTTCTCTCTCTTCCTCCACTTTGCAAACAGCGCCATCATAATCACATCGTGTTCACACAGGTAAATGCGATGTGCGACAGTAATAAATGTCCGTGCGTATATAGTTATATGGATTAAACGAAACCTCGATGCAAAGAATTTGCGTCAATGCATTTTAGTAATTGAATTAATCGATTTTATTGATGAATCGTTTCAGCCCTAGTTAAGATATTTTTCTCGTCTTGTTCTCATTAACACAGAATTGTGCATCATCACATCTCCTGAGCCATGTGGATCATCTAGGGCTGGGCGATATGAACCAAAAAGTACTGTTAGGTTGAATACCGGTATAAAATATATATCGGTATAAGTGGGCTTGGGGCCCCTTTCAGTTCTCTTCACACTCAGAGACCTAACTAACGTACTGTGCCTCTGTTGTGCATACATACACATAAGTATGTAGTAGGCTATGTTGTATAAAGTTGCTGGGGGAAAAAAACAATTTTTTTCTTCTGGTCTTTTCCACCTGCCATTCCGTTCACAGCAGCAGCTGCGCCGAGCGTTGAGGAGGCGTGTTGATGACGTAGCCTATCAAAACAAAACCAACGTGGAAGCTAACAAATGACATCTGACTAGTGTGTTCACTGTCTCTTTACTTGGTCTGCGCTTGTAAAATATCCACCACTCAGTATATCACAGATATATATAAATATCACCCCTCTGTATCTCTCAATATATAATATCCAAACACTCAAAAGCTAACACAAAAGCTACCATGTGTCGCCTAACTTGGGCGGCCTGCCAAAATAAAGTGTATGTGTGGGAAACCACTGACTGTTGTTTTTGTTTTTACAAGCCAGGTCTTCAGCAGTGTCGACCGGCACTGTGTCTCCTTCCATGTTGTCAGAGAATTTGTGAGTAGACTGCTGCGTGCAGATGCAGAGGGAGAGGCGGGGCTGCACGGTGAGGGAGAGAGACGAGCAAATGCTGGCAGGACAAACATAAATTAACTCAACATCAAACTATATCGGTGTAAGCGGTATTGTCTAATTTTATGTCTTTTGAAATTATATCGGTATACCTCATTAAACTGAAATACCGCCCAGACCTAGTATCGTCACACCCCTAATCTGAGCTGTCACGTCCCCACCACCACTTTACAACACAAAGTTACTTTTTCTATAGATATAGATTTAGAGGTGTTACCATGAATGGTAACATTATAATTCTGACAGTTTAAGCGATATTTTTACTTTGACTTTCTCATTCAGTCAGTCCACTATTGTCAGCCACACTTTTTCTCACTGTTTTAATACTGCGGCCGTGTTTCTTTCTTTGTTTTTCCAAATATTATGTTCATTTTTTCATCGTAAACCTCTTTATTCGCTGTTACTCACTGTGTGTAAAGTATGCTGCACACGTTTTTTCCATTTCAGCATCAATAAATCTGTGATCGACTGTGTGGTCTCGTGAAGAAAGCTGTTGACGCGCATTTATCTGAATTATTTACACCTGCCGTGACATAGTCGCTCCTACTCAGCCTGGTTTGCCTTTGTGAAAGGGATAAAGCCAGGATGCACTGATCACACTAGGTCGAGCCTAGCTTTTTCTGTTATCCTGGATTTCTAAATTCTCCTTTTGTGAAACAGCCCTCTGGGCACTTGTTTCCTGTTCCTGCAGGTTGTTACATGTTACACATAATCCCACTTAGTTTTTATCTGACGTCTGTGTGTGTGTGTGTGTGTTTTTTGTGTGTGTTTGTGTTTACAGAACATGGGCAGAAACTATTCCAGGTCGCGTGGAGTTCTTCTCCAGTGAGGGCTCTGACACCTCCATCCCCATTCCCATAGTGGCTCTGAGTAATGTGGATGACTCGTACCCACCGCAGAAGAAGTCTTTCATGATGCTCAAGTACATGCATGACCATTACCTGGACAAGTACGAGTGGTTTATGAGGGCCGACGACGATGTCTACATCAAGAGTGAGAAGCTGGAGAGCTTCCTGCGCAGCCTCAACAGCAGTGAGGCCATCTTCTTGGGCCAAACAGGCATGGGGGCCCGTGATGAGCTGGGGAAACTAGCCCTGGAGCCTGGGGAGAACTTCTGCATGGGAGGGCCAGGGGTCATCATGAGCCGCGAGGTCCTAAAGAGGATGGTGCCGCACATCCGAGAGTGTCTACAGGAGATGTACACCACCCATGAGGATGTGGAGGTGGGCCGTTGTGTCAGGCGGTTTGCTGGGGTCCAGTGTGTCTGGTCCTATGAGGTAAGGAGAGAGGGGGACCCGGGTTGTGGTTTACATTTCATTATCTCCAATGTACATTGTGAATAAAAGGGCAATAAATCTGCTTAGAAATCCTACAAAAAAGACAGCAGTCAGCACTTTCCCTTAGCATGTTTTCTTCAGTATTCCAATGAGCGTCATGAGTGGCAATTTACGAAATGGTAAACGGGGGTTGTTTGGGGGTGCAGTTGCCTCAGTTTAGTCTGAGGGGTGCCTACAGTGTCAGAATTTGAAAACCCCTGGTCTACATGGTACATAGAGGAGAGAGTGGGGAAATTATTGTGCATTGTCTCTCCCTCCTGAGCTTTTAGCCTATTCAGCCATGATTCCAGTTTTTCAAAATTTGGGTCTTTTATTTTAGTGGTGTGAACTTTATACTCTTGCACTTTCTTGTTCAGGTTGGACAGCCTTCTTTGCAGCTGAGACAATGTGTGCTTCAGTAAACATAAGTCGGACATTAGGACGGCTCCTTGAAGACTTTCCTCTGATTGTAATGTGTTAGACATGATTTTTTCAAAACTGCTGTCAGAATTGGGCATAACATGGTTAAGATCCCAAGCCCCTCTGGAGCAATTATTTTGAATACAGCAAATTGTACGTTGTAAACGTGCCTGCTTGGTCAGATGTATTTGTTTTTGAGTGGAATAAGAGAGCCAAGACGGTTTGTTTTAATCTCTGTGTAACTGAATTATGACCAGTTGTAGGTCATCACAAGATTGCAGCAAACCTTGTATGTGTGTGTTGGCCCTGACCCGAGGGCTGACCTCTGACCCTGCTCGGTTTACAGAACTGCACACCATTAGCCGGTACACCATGTCCTGCCTGCACTGCTGTGTGATGTTTACAAGACAAGGTTTTGATTTGTTTAGATAGCGGCACACACAGGTATGTCATTTTTATCACTTCAAGCCCACAATACTCACGGCTGAGGTACACAATTCCAAACACATTTTAAATTCAAGTCAGTCACATACGTCAGTCAAAGATGGACGTGTATTCAGTTCAAAGAACAAAGTGAGAAAAAGAAGTGGTCCTTGCTGCACACTCAAGGCTTCTTCCTTACTGTACGGATTAACTGGACATTTTCAGCTGAACTGGTGTCACTGTGGCTGCTGGATTGGATTGAGTCTTTTTTGAGAGTTGTGCGAGTGTTTCCATTGTTGGCCAAGTTGGTAAGACACCACTACCCAAATCAACCCACCACAACAGAGCAAGAAAAGCTCCGTCATCAGATGAGTGTGTTTCTGTGTGCACTCTGGTGGAGCGTTCACTCCAACCTGCCAGTTTACTGACGTTTCTAGACATGGCTGTGCCTTAGACCGTCTGCTCAAGCAAATGCAAATGACACAGTAAGGTTTAATAAGGGCCTTATGATATCCATTTAAATTTTTGCCAAATTCTGTTTTCATTTTTCTGTGTTTTTTTGTGTTCAATATAAGCACATTTTGTCATCAGAAAGTGTGTGTGTAATCATGTGGTGGATGAGTACTATTTAACAACTCTATAAGAAAATATAAAAAATGGAATCGCTATCAATGAATCTGATGTATCGAACCAAATGTGCATATAGAAATGTTCAAATTTAGGCCTATGTGCAATTATTAATGGCCACAAATCACAATGCATGTATTATTGTAATACTTACTGTGTAGTAACTAGTACTGTGATTTGTCCCCCTTATTACTTGATTGCAGGACAGCTCCCTTATGCTGCTCGATGTAGCTTTTTATGTTTTTTTCCTACGGAATACCTGACTCCGCTCACACAGCCATGAAGTCTTTAATGAGTTTATGTCCTGCACATAAACTGTAGAAGAAGATTTTGCATCTGGCGATGTGGTTACACTTTTGAGAGTTTGCTGAAGTGATGAGCCCTGGCTAGCACGCTGATGATATGAAGGGGTGTGTGTGTGTGTGTGTCCTTGGTGAAACACTACAGCACACAGAGAGCAGAGGAGACAAGCAGGGTGCACACAAATGAAACCAAAACATAGCAGTGTAGCTTGTTTGGCTTTAGTGCTGTGAAGAAGATGCTTTTAACACTACTCTCCATACACGCCAATTTTTATGAGTTGCAACCACATTTTGGAAGATTCCGCGACATTCTGTGTTTAACAGCTGACTCCATTTTTATTATCAAATTCCGTGATTCCATCCGCGTTTACTGCATCGCGGAATCGTAGGGTCCCAGATTAATGAATTGACTGTATGAGATTCCAGGAGAGTTGATCTGTGAATGATAAAAAGCGTCATCATGTTTGTCTGTGCTGTCATGTAAAAAAATTGAGTAGTGATGCACAATTTCACCCTTTCTTTATGTCTGTTTTATTTAGTACAGACTCTGCGGTAAGGGCCTGTGTCCACCAAAGCTTTTTTAAAGAAAAGATTAAGGTGCTACAGCAAACTTTAGAAATGTTGAACTCGTTCTGTATGTATGGTTATTATTATTGACAAGTTAGTACTTTGCATTCAAATGAGAGACTAAACACCATGTAGAGCATTTTTCTTGCACAACTGGCAACAACAACCCACAAGAGTGAAATTGCTGTTTTGTCCTACTGGAATAAATATTATTGGCTACTAATGGTAGGCTATGTAGTAGCCTGTACTGACCTGAACTATTAATAACATTAGCCCTAATCAAACCTAATGAAATCTTAACCACAGTGGTATAGGCTAATATCAGAGAATGGGTTTTATTAGTGAAACAGCTCAAATCTCAACTAATAAACTATCTGTAGGCACACTATTTGAATAAAGTGTAACCTGTAAACATATTATTATACTAACATTATACTTTTTATTCTAAATTATACCTTTACTCCTCTAGGTTGTGGATATTATTTGTTTATCAAATGGTCAGAAATAACAAGAAAACGCATAGCAGGGCTCAACGTTAAACTTTTTGCAACTGGCCCCACCAGGCCAGTAGGTTTCAAACCCACTGACAAGACAATTTTTATTGTCCCTCCTTCCAAAAGTGTTTAATCGTTTATTAAATACATTTAATACATATTTAACAAATGTGTTAAATAAAAAGGTTAACAAAACAATTTACTTTACAACTTAACAAAACCTACTAACAGACTCAAACAAGACGTGCTCTCCTGCTGACAGCCATTTATGAAAAATGTACACAGAGCAGCGGACACGAGTCGCCTCTATCCTGATGAACAGGTTGCCATGGCAGCGACCTCGCAATCATAAGGTAGTCCCGTCCAAAAGCATACACTACATTATCGTCTATTTTCCCCTAAATAGGACCATAATATACTAAATGAACATCATGCTGTGGTGAAGAAGACTTGAAACTAGCGACATTACAGTTGTGTCTGGTGGGGCAGACTGTGACACTGACAACTGAACCTTCATAAGACCAAAAACTTCTTGTGTTCTCTCCATTCTAAGTCTAAGTGCTAATTTTCCCTTTTTGAAGGAGTGATGTCTGATTGCCCTTTGTTGACTTTTCTGACATCAGTTCTGATGTTCTCTGTGATGCATCATTTGTTTATTGCTACATCAGTTGTCACTGCAGCTTTCCAGACGTCCTGGACATTAAAAATCACTTATTTTTGTCTTTGGTTTTTAAGGTGAGACATGGCGGGCAAAAACATTGTTTTCATGAACTGATCTATTTTAAGATTTTGGGCTACTTTGCTTCCTTAACAAGTCTTCTTTCAGACTAGTGGGGGGGAAAAAAGTCTAAACTACAGTTTGTCTGTCTGTGTCTGTAGATTTTGCCTTAAAGTTAGCATTCTACCCGGGAACCTTTTGGAGAGCTCTCTCTGTTCTGCACGATGCTTTTGGATCCAAATATGGTCATTTCCTTTGTACAAGCAACCAATCATGAAAGTACAGAGGCATATTTAAGCTAAGCGTGAAATCTGATTGGCCAGCATAGATTTCTGACAACGTGATTTGTAGGGCTGCAACTAATGATGATTCTCTTCCTCCACTTTGCAAACAGCACCATCATAATCACATCGTGTTCACACATCATCATCATCATCATCATCATCATCATCATCATCATCATCATCATCTTTGCAGAATTGTTGTAATTCAGCCACATTGGCGGGTTTTCGAGCCTTAACCGCTTTTTTAAGGTCATGCCACATCAGATTCAATCAGAGTCAGGACTTTGACTAGGCCACTCCAAAGTCTTCCTTTTGTTAAGCCATTCAGAGGTGGACTTGCTGGTGTGTTTTGGATCATGGTCCTGCTGCAGAACCCAAGTGCGCTTCAGCTTGAGGTCACAAACAGATGGTCGGACATGCCCTTCTGGATTTTTTTGGTGTACAGCAGAATTCATGGTTCCATTTATCACAGCAAGTCCAGGTCCTGAAGCAACAAAACAGCCCCAGACCATTACACTACCACCACCATATTTTACTGTTGGTATGTTGCTCCTTTTTCTGAAATGCTGTTACTTTTATGCCAGATGCAATGGGACACACACCTTCCAAAAAGTTTAACTTTTTACTCTCGTAGGTCCACAGAGTATTTTTCCCAAAAGTCTTGGGGATCATAAAGATGTTTTTCTCAGCAGTGGTTTTCATCTTGGAACTCTGCCATGCAGGCCATTTTTGCCAAGACTCTTTCTTATGGTAGAGTCATGAACACTGACCTAAATTAAGGCGAGTGAAGCCTATATTTTTTTGGATTTTGTTGTGGGTTTTTTTTTACCTCTTGGATGAGTCGTCGCTGCCCTCTTGGGGTAATTTTGGTCGGCCGACCACTCGTGGGTTTTCGCCATTTGTGGATAATGGCTGTCACTGTGGTTTGCTGGAGTCCCAAAGCTTTAGAAATGGCTGTATAACCTTTTCCAGACTGATAAAACTCAATTACTCTGTTTCTCATTTGTTCCTGAATTTCTTTTGATTACATAATGATGTCTAGCTTTTGAGGATCTTTTGGCCTACTTCACTTTGAGGGAGGTCCTATTTAAGTGATTTCTTGATTGAGAACAGGGGTGGCAATAAT